CCTGTTAACTGTCCAATTTAAATTGAAAGTAGTTTTCATGATGTAGTGAAATCAATTAGAGGACCTTTATAAACGCCTATAAGCTCCAACAAATGTTTTGTCTAATTAAGGGACACATATCTGGTGCACAATCTCACAAGTACCATAAGGCTGAATAACAAAATGGATACTATTCGAACACTGGATTAGGAAGTGGTCAATTAACTCTTTATTCCGTCATTTCACGATCTAAAGCAACCATCATTTATTGCTACTACTAGGCATCCCTCTCATTCCCTACTGGAATAAATTAACAGATCATGAGTTCTCGTTTAGACTTCAAGAAGTCGATATCAAAGTCAGTCACTAATAAGCAATGAAAACTAGTTCACCTAATATAGGAGTAAAATTGGGGACTGTGGTAGAATGTAATATATTAGATTTGTTTATTTATCTGTAACACACAGTGATACAGTATTATCTACTCGATGATGTTTCGAGTATAAATTGTTACTGCTCATATTCATATCAATTTACTCACACCACTTTCAACATTTGGTCTTTATAGTTCTGTCACCTCACATTCTTTGTTTTTATTGGTATTAAAATTTTCTATATCTCGGGTGTAGGTGTTGCGTCATTTTTATTACATGCGTTGATGGGTTAACATTGGTTGATGAGCAAAGATTCAGTAGTCAATCTCAATAAGGATCCGATAGGATCAATTAGGCAGAATAATTTAATCTGTCGAATTCTTTGTTATCACTACGAAGTTAAGTACATAGGTCAAACTACCCAGTCGGGGTCAGTGAGAATAGCTGAACATAGGAATCTGGCTAAATGTAGAATGATAGGCCACAATAAGATCAATCATCTAGAAAGGCACTTGGCTATTGCAATGCATGTATTAGCACACAACCACACATTAGCATGGGATCAAACCACTGTACTTAATTCCAGTATAATTGGGTGGAGAGATTGTTGACTGAATCTCTTTGTTTATCAAAACAACACCCAATGCTTCTGAAAGAAATGACGCAACACCTATATCAGAGATATGGAAAATTTAACTACCAATAAAAACAAGTAATATGAGGTGACAGGACTATAAAAGTCGGATGTCCAAAGTAGTGATTATGAGTAATAACGTTTACTCATAACGTCATCAAGTAAATTATACCATATCATACTGTGTGATATAAATCAAATAAATAAAGCTAATAATTCACCTACTGATTCGCAAAGATTTATTGAATTGAAAGTTAATTACTTCAAAATGTGGCCAAGGCTTTCAAATGCTTTGGTACTAACTCATCTTCAGTAGTGCTCAGCTTTGCATTTTTACCATTTTCTATCTTCTAATGAATAATGTGTATCTGATTCTCAACTAACCTTGTTTTAATATTCATAAATACTTGTCATACCTATAATTATGTTCAATATATTTGTTTATTGATAAGAAATTAAGTGTAACAAACTTGTAAATGTTGATGATAACCAAATAAACACTTTAAAAGTCGACTATAACTTCACTGGACATATACATTATGAACATTTTTATTTTTATTATTGATGCTTGTATTATACCGTCGTTGATTGGAGTCAATTGATCGGTCTCTGATGGCATATGGTCTCCTATGCAGATGTATCGATATTGCCTGTGTTTCAATCATAGTAATGATAGATAATGGCTAAGAGTGGAATCCAGGATACCCATTTTGTCCTGCTTGTGACTCTTCAGCTGAATTTACCTGCCTCGCAGTGAGTGATGTTGTTCTCACCGGGATTCGGACTCGGAAGTGACTGCTTCAAACGCCAGGACGTTATCCACTAGACCGCCGAGCCACGATAGCCACTTCTTGTGCAATGGGTATAGTTTTTATATTAATGTTTGTATTATACCGTCGTTGACTGGATCGAATTGATCAGTCTCTGTTGGCATATAGGCTCCTGCGTGGATGCCTCGATATTACCTGTGTTTCAATTATAGTAATGATGAAAATGCGCATCCTCGATGCCACTGCTAGAGAATATCCATCAGTACTATAATTAAAACAGAAGTTCTATCTTGATCCTTAATCTTTTAATTGATTCAATGTTACGTTTTGTATACTATTTGTTACGATTACATAGAACATGCCAAATTGCTCAAGGTCAAATTTAATGAGTTAAAATACTATTTGTACCCAATACAAATACTAGTCTGCCAAACTACGGCTATCTCAGATAGTCAAGTGAAAATACTATCTGTTGAGTTCTACTTTGGTAAAAATGTGAAAAATTCTATTTCGAAAATGACATCAATCGCATATGCATTAATTAACTAATAATGCTATTCATTTTAAATTGATACAGAACACTAAAACAACCATATTAGACATTACTATGGACAATTTATCACACATGACTTTAGTCAGTCAATAGATTTTAGTTGAAAACAGAACTGAAGGGTTTTAACAGTAACAAAGTTTGAAACTAAAAATATTTGTGGGTTGCAGCAGAATGCAACTTTGCGAAAACTCATAAGGGTCAAAGTATTCATTCAGAATAAGTTGTCATTCATGTACACTTAACTTTTACCTATTAACTATGAATATTCTATATTGTTCAATCAACAATTTAACTGATAATAATACATGCAACATCATATAAACCTATTTAATTATTTTGGAGAGTGAAACGTGTAAGTTCTTGTTACACTTTGTCACGAAAATCGGTTTATTTTCCTCTTAATTTACAGTGTGTTTAGTAAGTAACAACAAAATGATTGGTTGTAAGCTGTAATATTATTTCTATTGATTACGTAATTACGGCTTTAAATTTTTATACAACTTGATACTTATAATACTCCTCGAAGATGCTAATAATGTTACTTCTACACTAACTAATGACTGAATAATTTAGATGATGGAAAACAGAATTACTTGTTGCTGAAGTTAACCTGTTTCACATACCTATTAATAATATTTCCAATTACTGTAAATATAAAGCTAAGTTGAATAGTACCAGTGAGGTCCTTCTCAAGTATATCAAGATAAATGCTCATTTATTATTGCTCAAAATATTCGTTAAATGAGTATTCAACTTTATAGAGCATGAACAAACTATATCATTTCATTTAAAACTTGTATATTTGACAAGAAGTGATTCTGTACTGTTAATCTGATGACTTTATGTAAAAGATTTTTACTCATTGAGCATATGTTTGATAATGATTATGAGTCCTGGATCCTTTTAAAGGGACTCAGTTGAACTATTTTACTGATGACAGTCTTCTTATTTCAAGACTATTCAGTAAATTAACAAACAAATGCACCATTTCCCTATAGATCATTTATATTGGGTAGTGATCGAAGGTAAAATGAAAATTTGAGTTGTGGTCGAATTCGAACAAGCAACCACTTGTTTACCGACCTGATGCTCTACTAACTGAGCTACAAGGTCCATTTGCTGGATGCGTCAAGAAGTTGAGCGCTGTTATTTACTTGATAAGACTTAAGATTATCACACTGAGTTTCAAATGGCTCTGAATACCAAATTGTCAGTAATAATTTTGAATTGCCGGGTATATACAATAAAACAAATTATTTATTAATATTTTTTGCCATAGTCTTAAAATTAACATTCATGATAAGTTGTACAACAACAGACGACTCTAAAATTTTAGAACAGTCAACTCATTTTGTTAGTAGGTAATATATAAGAGTTCATAGAATGGCCACAGGAACAAAGATAAATATCTTCCTTATATCAGTAAGTATATAGTGACAATGGTATCAATTAGACAGAAACATTATTATTCTCAGTTTAAGCTACTTCTTAAGAGTGTTGATCTAGTTCATTTATGCTATCAAAACTTCAGTTATTTTCAGGAAATATTAAGGTGCTGTCCTGCATTCTTTACCTAAATGAAACAAGCCTCACATATAGTACTGACTTTACGCCTAAAACTTACTCACAGTTGAGTCAAAAGACTTTAAATCTTTATCCGTTGCCTTGACTAAGACAGAAGAAAATAAAATGATATTAAGTGTACGCGATCAGAACAAATACTAAACAGGTAAGGATAGTTAAACAGTATAAAACTTTTCCCTGGTAAAATAGAGTTCTAATTAACTTCCTGAATGTATATTTTTTGACCTTCTTGTAACTCATTTATTTCTCATGCATTCCCCTTATCTCGATATTTACTTTTATTAAGATCTCCTAAAAGTGCAAGATAACAGATGAAGAAACCAAGAAGAAAATTAGTGATAATCTAATTACTTCTCAGAAACACATGCATAACTCTTAACCTAGCAAACTGAATGAAACTGATAGTGTAAACTGTGAAATGCTCATACCTCAATAACAAAAGTATCTCATCAAATGGTTAATCACTAAGAATTATTCACTTTCATACGAAACCGTATTGTTCTATGTAATCTTTTGACATTTGACATGCTACAACATACAAGTATAATTCTCATTCCTATAAAACACTATTAGTAATTCATCAGATTGACTCTAAAATTAATATGTTTCCGTACTTCTCAAACAAGAACTTCTAACTACAATATTTTTAAACTGATTCGATGTACAATGTACATAATTTCTCTTTCAGTATAGTAAATTTCTTTCATAAGCATTAAGACTTAGCATATCAAATCTAAGACCAAAAGAATTTTTAAAAAACTTAAAAATGCATTTGAACGCAACTAACGATCTTTTATAAACTGCTTCTTTATGCATTGAATATTGAATCAAAATATGCGATGAATGTGAAATTTTTATCTTCTTTCAATGATAAATCAAATTGTTTAATTTGATATACATGCAGAACTTTAGTCTTCAACATGTATAATAGCCAGGTTATCTTCGGAAAATAAGATTTTTCGAAACTTCCACTAGCTGTCTATTAGGATGTAAACACTTTCTTTCACCTTTTTGAAACACTACACTCATAAATAATGAATGTAATCAATCTAATACCAAAATGTGTGATACTCATAATTTCTTTTTACACAGAATTTATTACTCACCTCATATTCCATTAAAACTTTGTCTAAATCTAAATCATCTAAATTTTTCATTCTCATTGCAGAATAATCAATATCTGGTAGACATCCATCGACAGAAGAGGTTTTAGGATTTATTTGTGATCGTTTCATCTCAAAAAGTGTTATTATATATATTTACAGTTTTTAAGAAAATTGTCGTATGATTATTTTTGACTTTCAGTACGATAAAGTAAATGAGTGAATTTACGACTGTATACTCTGAATTATGTCATAATGATAGATTTGTTGAAGCTCCAGGATACTTATTATAAATTAGGAGTTTTTACAATAGAATAGCTATATATTTGTATATACATCTCACGTACAAAATATTGTAGCCAATCATAAAGCTACTCAATAAAATAAAGATAACAAATGAGAAGTATTCACAGACTAAGTGTAAACTGAATTATTCCTTTGAATAATATTTTTTAGAGGAAAATATAAAGTAATAGCTTGATTATATATATCTTTTTCCATGGGAACAGTTTACCTTCTTGAATTTTAAAGGTGTATCCTTCAGAAAATTACTGATCATGCTTTTCCGTAATAGTCACTTAACATTCGTTCATGTTATCAATGTAATCAAATTGATGTGTATTTCAAAAATCCTACCAGAACCGTCTACATTTACTATTCAAGGTGAGATGAAGTTTGAAGAGTTCGAAGAGTATCTAAAAACTGTGTCACTGTTTTGTGCGGCTGTATTGCTAAAAATTTTCCAAACAAGTCAGAGTTCGGCAACAGATAAGTATTATTTACTTCTTAAATTGTAAAAGCCTACAATGCCACGAAGTGTTATTTGCATCAGACTATCAGGAAGAGATACCTTGACGAGCTTTGCAGCTTATTCTGTTTGCATAAGACTAGCTAAATCACTGTAGATTATTACGGAAAAACTTCCATCATCGCTATCGAAAATAAAGTCTAGTCTTGAAATACAGACATTGACAAGAACAAATGAGAAAACATAGACAAATTATTTTTTTCCTTGTATTGCTAATGCAATATGGAAATTCAGTAGCACGTATCAATTACACTCTCTGCTCTGCAGTCTTCAAAACCTAACGCCACCACCAACCATCACATTTCATTTCTCCCACACATCATCTCCTCCATGTCACACTCAACTCAAAACACAAACTACTCGTTTCACATCTCCGTTACACTCGACCACCTGACATGATGCTTGATGTCCCCAGTCGTCCCTCTCAGTCTATACCCAATCCAATACATCTGCAATTTCTTCCTCTGCATATTTGTTGGTTGATATGTTCTTGCTTGGTTGGTTCGTCACCAGCCAGCCAGCCAGACAGAGTGACTTCCTTCATCCCCTTTCTTATTATTCTCCACATCCATCTGATCTTCACTATCGAGTGAGTGTAGGTGGCAGCTGTTGATGAATGTCTGTAGTTTGATGGAAGTGATTTTGGTGACACGCCAAGTTTGTCAACCATCACACAGAAGTACTGAGTCAATTCACATTGGTGTTGAGAATCCGGATGTTGTTCACGCTTTATGCTGAGTGTAGTGCAATGCAGTGCAGTGCAGTGGAGTGCAGTGCAGTGCAGTGGAGTGCAATGCAGTGCAGTGTAGTTGATGTGCACACTGATTTCAGATTGATGGAGGAAGGCCTGTCTTCGTGTGTTTCGGATCCTGGCTGCTTTGACATCGTCGTGTATGCCTGTGTCCCTGTTTGTAGTTGAGACGATGCAGCGTAGTTGTTAGTTGGGTAGGTGAGAGAGACAACTTGCATTATGTTTCTCGCATTGATGTTGATGTGTGTTTGTTGTTGATACTTTTGTTGGTGTGATGTCTTCATCACCTCTGTGTTCTCTACGTTCACTTGAATTTTCGTCTTCTCTGAGTTGCCTCTTTTGTCAGTGTGTTAGTTTTGGTCTGTAGATCTTCTAGTTTGTGCGACAAGACATTCGACATAAGTCATCATCATCGGCGGAATCCAAATCTTCCCCTGGGGTCTTTTAACCTGGTTAGCCAGCGTATGCCCATCTTCTCGCTTCTCACGGTTTGCTACATGATCCCATGCAACACAATCAGGAATTTGATAGATGAAAGCAGGCGGCAGCCTTGTCCTACTCCTGTCTTCACTTCAAATGCATCACTGAGCTTCTCATTGTGAATTACTTGGCATGTGGCATGACTCTTCATACAGCTGTTGAATGATGTTGATAAAGGTTTGTGGGACTCCGTAGTGTCGAAGCAGTTGCCTGCAAATTACTTCTTAGTCAACGCTGGCAAAGGCCTTTTCAAAGTCGATGAAGTTAAAGGTGAAGATCCAGTTGACTACCATTCTATACTCTGTTCTATGATGATGCGTAGTAAAGGTGTTGCAATTTGATCCGCACATGATTTGTGCTTCCTGAATCCAGCCACCCAGCCTGTCTTGGTCGTGGTTTTGAATCCAGCGCATCGTTTGGTCTCTCAAGGATGATGCGGCTCAATATTTTGCTTGCTCTGGGTGGACAGGAGAATGATTTCTCTCCAGATCTTGCAAACACTTAGGTCGCTCGTCTTTGATAGTTTGACAAAGTACCCATTCTTCCAGTCTACAGGTATTTTTCCTGCCTTCCACACCTTCTGCAGTACTGGTTTGAGCATGTCCGCTGTTGTCCCTGCGTCCGCTCTCAGTGCTTTTGACGGGATTCCATGTGGTCCTGCTGCTTTCCTTCATTTCAGTAGCTTTATGGCGTTCAGGATTTGAACTTTCGTCGGAGGTGTTATGTTCACTGGTAGTTCTTTAGCTGGGCCGCCGGTGGTATTTCTGGATTAGTTACAGGTTGTTGTGGCGGTGGTCGATTCAAGAGCTTTTCGACGTGGTCATCCCATCGTTTCGTTTGTCTCTCTTCTTTGGTAATTAAGTTTCCTTCATCATTTATTGGTTTCATCTGTGTTGATCTTTTCCCAGATAGTAACCTGGTTATTTGATACAATGTTGTCAGGTCTCTGTCTCTCCTACCCGCAGCCTGTTCCGCGCCACTTGCCAGTGTGTAGTAGAAGTATCTTTTGTCTTTGTGCACACTCTTCTTCCCTTCTTTTTCCAGTGAAGTGTTTTATACATTGTACTCAGTTCCTCTTCTCGTCGTTCATCCTTGCACTGCACTGCACTGATTTATCTTGTGCTTCACCATCACCATCTTTCTCTCCCTACTCGATAAGCTTCCATATGGAGGTCCGTCGAGATCCATTCCTTATCTTGAATATCCTTCCTTCCTAATACAGTTATGCAGGTCTATTTCCACTTAGCTTTCAAAGAGTTCCAGTGCTCATCCACACAGGTTTCTTCAAGGACATTGATCGATATCTCCCATTTTGTCTTGATGTCACACGTGAAGATGTTTCTTGTAGTTTCGTCCTTCAGTCCAGTTTCTATTTTGGGTGTTCAATTTGAACTGTGGCCTATCACCAACTTCCTTCAATGCTTTCAATTTGATTTTGAAGGCAGGTTCCTTTCACTAGATAGTGAGTGGTGTGAACCTACATCTGCTCCTCTTCTTGATCTTGTGTCCAGTAGGCTGACTGCGTCTCCACCTTATTCAGATTGAAATGTAGTCGATCTGATTTTTAGTGTGTCCATCTCGTGAAATCCATGTCACTTTGTGAATATCCTCGTCTTTGTACACACTGCCCCAAATCACCAAATCGTTGAATGAGCATAATCCTTCAAGCAGTTCTGCGTTATCATTCATTTCAAGAAGCGCTTCTCGACCTATGGTTAGTTCTCTTCCTGTGTCGTCCGCTCTCAGCTTCAAGTCGCCATCTGGGGTGAGGTCCTGTCTATTACTGATCGCAGTTGACTGTGGAATTCCTCCCTCTTCTCTTCATCTGCATTATTAGTAGGTGCAAAGCGTAGCATTGTACGATTTTGGCTTTCCTTCCTCTTGAGTTGAACCTTGCTGTCATGATGCTGGAGAAGGTTGGTTCCCACTGTATGACAGCCTTCGATGCTCTTGGGGACATCATGATGGCCCCTCCAAAACTCAGTACGCTCGAGGTTGTCGTGTGAGTGACAATATTGGATTAGATTATTTACTCTCCTCTCGAGTTGACAGTTTGAAGAGTCCACTTCCATTCCAGCTGCTTTTGCAGATTCTCAGCACTTCTATGCTATACCTTCTCATCTCTTTTGCAATTTGGGCTTATGGTACCTGTAAGAGAAATAATTTTGCGTGGCCCCACATGCCATGGAACATCCACTTGAGGCCTGTCATACATAGTTTTTTGAGGATTGTTGTCGTGAGGGTTGGTTGTTCTAACGCCGGACAGAGAAAACTTATACTGCCTGCATTAGAAGACCATGAGGCAGGTGAGAGTATGCCATTTCTGGGACCGATCTTTTCTAATCGTCCTTCTTACTGAAAAGGCAGCATCAACCTAGCTTTGCTGGTTACCTGAAAGAAACAACTGATCAATTTCACACTCTTCCAGTTAGCATCACTTCTTCACCCACAGATCCCAATCACGTAGCGACACGTTACACTGTAATGGTAACTAGGTTGTATCTAACCGTTATCCAACAGACCTTTCTGGTATGGTAGGACCATAAGAGAACCAAGGTTCCCTCCGGTACAGCTCGTTAGGTCACTGTAATATGCAAGCCAGTCCACCAAGTCAAGGTAGCAGCTATCAGCCAGAGGGTGATGACTGGAGGTGAAATGACCCCTGGGTTTCCCACCTGGTCCTATAGCAACTAAGCTATTAGACCCAACCGCTGACAAGAATTTCGCTTCATTTCAGTCACCAAATCCAGTCAGCAGTTGCGTTTTGCAGCTCATTTGGTAGAGCATTGCTCCAGAAACCCAGTGGTCCCTGGTCCTAATCCTGCCACTTCCCACATATTCATTTAACCTTCAATCATCACCCAGTATGAATTTATATCTGTCATGCTCATGGGGGATGAAGTGGGCAATTTTTCGTCTCTTGCTGAAAAAATATCGAAATTGGTCTCTCCTAGAAGAACTAAACTGATTCGTTCTTCTGTAGTCTCTTTCGTAGTTAATAGGTGATTCATATCACATATGAATGCTACTTATAGTATAACCTAATACCTACTGCGTAGTTAAGTTAAGCAGTCACTAAATCGTTCATATACCTATATTGCAACATATAAGTGCCTGTAATCACACGCGTTCTGTATTCCATCACCAACCATTATTGATGTCCACTGTGGTTCAGTATCCCAAAATGATATGCTGAAGTATGTAGAGAATAATAACCCATATTGTGTCATCGAAGCCTTA